GAAAAAGAAGAGGACGACGAACCGAAGAGCCAGAAACATCTTGAATGCCTTTTTCGGAAATCCTCTTGAAGCTTCTTGGAGGTCTCTTGGGGGCCTCTTGGAGGGCTTTTTGGGCGCCTTGGGGCATCTTGGGCGCCTCTTGGGACCCTCTTGAGGCGCTCTAGAGTGCCTTCGGGGCGTTCTTGGGGCCATCTTGGAGGGAGTCGATCAAACAAGAGGGGACCTCCAATTAGCCCACTCCCCTCGGGAGCCCCATAAATCGCCTCTTGGGCTCCTCTTGGAGCGCTCTTGGGCGCTTTTGGCGCCGTCTTGGGGCTCTTTTCCTTGGGGCCTCTCGTGGGGCCATTTTGGAGCCACATTGAGGCATCGGATGTCCATCGGAAACGAAAGGGCGAGAAAACAACATAAATATGTGTTTTTTGTTCCTTAGGTGTTGGGACGATTTTAACCTCGTCGGGGCCTCCTTAGGGAGCTCTTTGGCTATTTGGAACCGTCTTGGGATCGTCTTGGGGCCTCTTGGAGCATCTTAGGAGCCATCGCGAGCGATCTTGCGCTATCTTGAGCCATTTTGGAGCTCATCTTGGGCTCTCTGAGGCGTTTTTGAAGCCATCTTTGGCAATCTTAGACGTTCCAACGCGCCGCGGCCCCCCCTTTCCAGGTCCAGGGGAGGGGATAGGGGGAAGGGTAAACCCCTCCCCAAGGGGGAAGAGGGAGGGATGGAAGAGGATCTGCTCTAGACCACCTACGCCCAGAGGGCTGGTGGGATTTGTTTCTGATGTCATCATTGTACTTCGCAATTGTCCACGCACCTCTTGCGTCGCTGCGTCAGCTGAGCGTGAAACTCGGCGCCTTTGTTTGTTATTAAAAACATGTGGCTGCTATTCAATGCGCCTGCGCGGTTGCGCCACCAATTGATACTATGACCCCACACATTCTGACAACATACAACATGATTTATCAATGAAACATACTATGTTGACATATTTTCGGCTATTGTATAATACTATGTATATATGCACATTAAAACCACTGCACGGCACCAATTGCATTCGGCTGCCGCTAATCTTCGCGTTTTTCTTCATTTGTGGCCATTGCGACCGTATTTGTCGAAGCCTTTCGGGCTTTGCTCCTGCGCTCTGGCAGACATGCGTGACTGCGCTGTGCAGAAAACAGAACAAACACTTGTAAGCGAGCTTGGAAATCTCGGACGGACTTGACAACTATTAAATCCGGCAAGATGATGTGCACCACCCAGAACAAACCATAGAAGAAACTCTTGAGCTCGGAAGTGGCACAAGTCGCAAGCCGCGGTGGTAACGGAGCCGGCAACGGGAAAGAAGAAGAGAGAGATCAACACGGAAGAAATTACAGGAAAAATCGGGACGAGACCAAGGACAAACCAATATATTGCCGAGACTGCCTCCGAACAAAGAAAAGAGGCAAATTTGTAGGTGACCTTCAAATTGCGTGATTTCCACAGCACGCAGGAATCGCATTATCAAGAACCTCGTGGGCGATAACAGAAGGGCGGTATTCGGCAAACACGATATGGCTTTTGTGCGCAGAACCATTTCGTGTAGAGAGTGGTATCTTCAAGCATATCATAAACACATCGCTCATGACTGACACGCAACCGCGCATTGATCGCCTTTGCCGTAGAAGATTGGCAATCGAAGACTACATCTAAAATCTTAAACTCGGAGATGTCCCCTGCGCGGCAGGTAAAGATGTGAGTGCTCCTCACTGGAGTCAAAAACGACGCTATTGGCACGACCCAGTTATAATGTATTCGCGACCGCCAAATCATAGGCCACACGCATTTGCAAAAGCAATTGATTGTCTCGAGATTTGCCCGACATTGTCTTGATGTTGGTGTTATTTACGCGTTGAGCCTTCCAAAGGTGCTTTGAACACGTGCGAGCCAATAATATCATCTTCTGACAACGCCTTGTAGAACTATTTTGGCAATTGTAGTGCTGTGGGCGGACAAGACTTTGCAGCTTATGGTGGAAATTTTGCCGCATGTCGTTGTCGAGGCCGCTGTACGGGCCGCTGATTCGTAGCCGATCTGAACACGCTTTGGAAGCCACGATTGTTAGGACTACGGACTCCGAATCCGATACGGATAATGACTCATGCGTGGACGTTTGGGCGAATATTTCGGAAATGCATCGGACAATGTGGGCCGGGAAAAAGAAAACGGGAGATAGTGCCGATCGATGAAACTGGCATTGGTAGGCATAAAAATTGCTACATATAGATAATGAAACCGGTGTTGATTAATATAAAACCCAATGTCCATGGAAACCGGAATAACGGTCGATGGATACCGAAACCGGGCCGATGAATTCCGAAACATTTCTTGCTGCAAAGCAATGCAGGAGGGATGGTCTGCTGCCCCTCAAAGAGGCTATAAGAAGAGGACGCACCAGGCGAATGCAGAAACATCGTCGAGACCGTGCAGCAGCCCTGCTCAACAGACTCTCCTGCGAGCGCGGCCGAAATACCGCCAATCGAAGCCGACCGCGGGGAGAAGAGACCAGAAACCTGCAATGACACTGGACTCGGGAAGTGGGAGAAAGGAGGAGGATGAGGAGGACGGGAAGAAGAGGATGAAGAAAGAACAAAAGCTGCATCGCCGCCAACGCTTCGACCGTCCCATGCGCCGACTGCTTTGAAACCGGCCCCTGCCAGACGTAAATAAAGCACTGGCCATAGAAGGGGGCACATCAAGAGGGAGTAGGAGCAGAGAGAGGCGCACCACCCCGATCAGTGCAGCCAGAGGAACAGCGCAGTGCCGACCTAAAGTAAGAAACAAGAGGAGCGAGAGAGAGAGAGAGAGAGAGAGAGCACAGAGAGAGAGAGAGAGAGAGAGAGAGAAGAGGGATAAAAACAAAACATAACAAAACAGACCACGACCTGTTCACATCACGAGGCTGCAGAAGTCGGAATACCAACTACAATAATTACAAGCCGTAGTAATGCAAGGAGTGTAATACCGCACCTACCCCAGTCACTAAGGTCCTTGGTGTGGTTATGTAGCGCAGGGCTCCTTGGCCCCGCAGACGTGCACGCCTGGAGCAGAACCTAGCACGTGCGGGCTGACACGCGAAAGCCAGACGAAACGAAAACTCTGAGCACTCAGGCGTGCACTGGGGCGCGGCAGAGAGGAAGAGAGAGAGAGAGAGAGAGGAGGGCAGAGGAAAGAGACAAGAGGGGAAGGTACAACATCCCAACGAACCCACTGGCAGGCAGGCACCCGCAGCGGCGTCGGACACTTAAGCTAGATGGATACCGAAACTGGGGTCGCTGGATACCGAAACCGGTGTCAACCGATACTGAAACGACTTCCGACGGAAACCGAAACCGGGGTCGATGGATATCAAAACCGTTGTGGTGGATACCGAAACCGTTGCTTGGATACCGAAACCGTTTCCACCGCCTCACGGTTCGTGGCTCCGCGTGGCCCGCATGGCGTCCACCCACTCACCCTTCACGCGCTTCGTGGCCCCAGTCGGGAGCTCTACCGAAAGCTCCATTGGCAGAGATCCGCATTGCGTTTCCCGCCCATGTCGGGCACACCCCTCACTCGTTTCGTGACCCCACATGGAGCTCCATCGAAGGCCCTGGCGGCAGGGTCCGCATGGCGTCCACCTGCACGTTTCGGCACACCCCTCACTCGTCTCGTGGCTCTGTGGGGAGTTCCACCAAAGGCCCAACTGGGGTGGCAGGACCCGCGAAAAAACCCCAAAGTAGGGTTACGCATGGCAGCCCACCGCCTGGCGCACCCTTGGTACGCATTGTGGCCCCAAAAGGGGTTCCAAAGAAGGCTCCAGTGGCAGGGCCCGTGGCGTCCCCCCGCGCATTCCGGTACTCCCCTCACACGGTTCGAGGCCCCATGGCGGGCTCCACCGAAGGCCTCAGTGGTAGAATTCCAAATGGCGTTTTCCCGCCCATTTCGGTACACAAACCTCACACGCCTCGCGGCACCACAGGAGGGAATGGACGAACTGAGGAACGAAGGACGAGATACCAGGGGTCAGGCGGAGGGGGACAGGGAGGGACGAGGGAGAAGGCACATGAGAAAGAGAGCGCACGAACGGATAATGAACGAATCATGTAGATGTGTCTCTCTCTCTCTCTCTATATATATATAGACATATATATATATACATACATACATATATAGAGAGAGAGAGAGAGAAAGAGAGAGATATGCAGAACGAGAGAGAGAGAGAGAGACAGAGAGAAAGAACGAGGAAGCGAGAAGAAGAGAGAGAGAGAGAGAGAAACAACAAGAGGAAGATAAACAAAACATATGGAAACGAGAAGATAATTTGAAAGGGGAGAACACGGGAGGAGAGCGGCTGCTGTTGTAGCAACCAATTTGCCGTAGTGCGGCAAACCGACGAAGAAATCATAACGCAACCTGTGCGGAGAAGCGTGCAACACGAATACGCGTGGCCACCTAATACAAACACCTCGACACGGAAATAGCCGTTGAACGTGCGCCGCAAGACAACGGACAATGTTACACGCGAAACCCACCTTAATCAACTCATCCGTCGCTTTTCGACTGTAAAATGCCAGACTCACTGAATTAGCCTCGCATCCGCGCAGGGACGTTTCGGCAAATCCCCGGACACGAATTCCCAAAACAACCAAGGTCATATTGTATGCGTTCGAAGACCCAACGGATGTCTGAACTTCCCCCTCCCTTCCTCTCGCTTTCCCGTCCTCCCCTTCTCGAACTTAATCGTGCCCCCCCCTGCTGGGGACGACCAGAACAAAGTGCTGGAAACCCGAGCTGGGAACGACGAGAACAGTGCGCTGGCTGGTGGCAAGCGGAGGGAGCGGGAAGGCTTTGGACTGCAGGTGGACGCGGGCGACCTGGTCACTGGCAGGACAGCAGTTGCACAGACGGCAAGCAGGGGACGAGAGAGCACTGCGAGATGCCCGCTGCCTTTTTCACGGTCGAAGGCAATCTCTGCCACAAAAATGGGGTCGATCTGATCTCAGCGTGGAGAGAATTACATGCTCAAGTGCCCGTGAAGGGAAGCCGGAGTCGGAAACGGGGGAGGGTTGGACGATGATACCGACGGCATGGTGACATGGTGCCCATATTTTTTCTGTCCTTTCCCCCGTTCTCCTCTCCCCTCCTTGCTTGCTCTGTCCTTCTTTTCTCCTCCTCCCTGCTCCCGTCCTCCCTCCACCTTGCTCCCTCGTGGTCCTTCACGTGAACTTCTTAGGGTCCCAATCGCACCCGGCCAGAAACAGAGTTTCACCACTCAACGCATAACCGTGCAATTATGTTGGCTATCGTGGGCCCCGAACGGTGTGTTCTAGCATACTAGGTTGTACAATAGATGTGGCGCAAACTGTGTCGTGCAAACTGTGTGGTGGAAGCTGTGTGGTGTAAGCCGCCTTGCCGGACTTGAAATTGTCAACTCCACTGCTCGTGCAATCATCCCCCCAACCCACCCGCAACTTTGTTTACACAGCCCTTGCGGCGGCGATTGCGATGGCTGATTAGAGCTGGCTGGCGAATCGCCGCAGCAGCGCTAGCGTGGTGTCGCGCTAATGCGCGCAGGCTCGCGCGCAGAGCGGCCAACTAATCTGGCGTGACCGACGTGGCCGCGGTGGCGCTGACCGCTGGGGAATGCCCGGCGCGTCGCGCAGGCCACGCTTACGAGCGGGTACTTCAATGCGATATCATGGCGACGTCGGCAGCGGCACGATGATGATGGTAACGATGCTGCTCGCGCCGATGACGATGATGTTGTCCACGTGTCGGCGATGAAAATTTTGGTGGGATTTTGGCAAGCGCACGGTAGACGGGCGCGAAGGGACCGCGCGGTTTGATAAGGATCGCGCCCCCTACCCCCCTCAGCAACCGCGCAAAGGCGTTCGATTGATTTCGAAACGCGCGCGAAAGGGCCCGCGCTGTCGCGTGATGAAAATGCGGAAACACCAGCAATTTTTCCCAACAGTTCGCAACAACGCACAAATCTTTAGTAATGAAACCACGTTGTATAACAGTTTATATACGGACACTAGATTTGGAAATCCTCGCGAAACGAATTTTCTATTTCTGCGAATTTCCCGCATGGGCGCGCGACGACGCGCTCGTGTGGACTTTGCCTCGTTTTTCGCTAGACACTATTGCAAATCAATGAGTTCAAATCAATTGCAAGCGTTTTTCGGTTTCAGGTCATGCTCCCGGGAGCCGCTCTGGGGAAAGGAGAGTCGTCCCGTTGGGGGCGTGGAGCCTGTTGCAATGTGAATGGGGAGCGGGAGGTGGGGGGGAGCAAGCGAGAGGGCGGACAAAAACAGGGCATTCTGGGGCTCGGAACTGGAATGCAAGTTCTAGTAAGCTAAATGAGATGGCGGTTCCACATCGCCGAACCACCTGGAACTGCCTCTAGAAATAAGCAGTCGTGGCGGTTCCAAAGCGGTTCCAAACAATCCAAACAAATGGGAAACCTAGCGTTTCGCTCCAGATTCCAAACAATGCGATGCCGGCTCCAAATCGCCGAACCGCCTTGGACCCCGTCGCAAACCAAGACAGGTCTTGGCGGTTCCGAGGCGGTTCCAAACAACAGAAGTCGGTTCCACACGAATGATGGGGAACCAGCGTTTCGCTTCAGGCATCCTTGCAAGTGCCTTGGAGTTTCCCCTTCACCAGGGGCATATGCATCGACGCGATGAAGAGCAAACTCACCGCGCGACTCAAAGAGTGTAAGACGTTCTTCAACCGCAACTTCGAGGTGGATGGCCGTTGCTCGAGCTACCCGAGTCGCCTGGGGGAGCTCGTCGACTCGAAGGAGGAGAGGCTGAACCGCTGAGTGCAGCTTTGAGAGCTCGAGATAGAATGCCGCAGTGTCTCGGCGATAGAAGCCCGCGCGCGAGAAAGCTGCCCTCCGCTGCCGTCGATCCTCGTTGCGCAACTTGACCGCGACAACGTATATCCGCAGTGGGGCGCTGTCTCCCAAGGCGGTTTGTCTGCGGTGATTTCGCGTGGGGGTGATTCGGTTTAGGTGTTGAAAGTTGGGGCAACCTTCTTTCTCCCGCAGGTAAATGCGGCGGGCGTTATCACGGCGCGACTTCTGCGCCGGCACTAAAATAGTAACAACCAGCCTGACTGACGTCGTGCCGGGAGTCTGCGGGGGGCGCGACAAGTCGCCTGTCGTCGCCGCTGGCGCCGGTGCCCAAGATAAATGCGTGTCGGAACGGGTCGGTTGCGCATGCGCGTAACAGCGTGCATCTTCAAAAAGAGATCCACAAATCATAGCTAAATCAAGGAAACGTCTGGCCAAACGTTTTTTCCTGTTTCGAATCATGATCCCGGGCGCCGCGCTGGGGGATGCAGAGTCGCCCCGTCCGGGGCGCGGCGGCGCCGGTGACAATGCGAACGGGGATTGGGGGCGTAGGGGGGGGGACAGGTGAGAGGGCGGAAAGGGGTGAGTTCTGGGTTTTGGAACCAGACTTACATCTCCTCTAAGCCAGGCGGGAGCGAGGTTCCAAATCGCTGGAACGCGTGGAACTTCCTTGCGAAACAAGCCGTCGTGGCGGTTTCAAAGCGGTTCCCAAAACACAGAAATCGCTTCCACTTGGGAAACGAACGTTTCGCCTGAGACTTCCGTGGACAAACTTTGGAACTGGGTTCCAAACAATGAGATTGCGGCTCCAAATCGCCGCGCCACCTAAGACCTCATCGCAAAATAAGCCGTCGTGGCATTTCCAACATGACTCCAGCCAATGTAAGTAAACAATTTGAAAACGAACGTTTCGCTTGAGACTCCCGTGCGCAAGTGATTTGGAACTGGGTTCCAACAATGCGATGGCGGTTCCAAATCGTCGAACCACCTGGGACTTCCTTGCAAAATAGGCCGCCGTGGCGGTTCCACAACGGTTCCAATCGGTCTCAAGCAATTGGAAAACGGGCGTTTCGCTCGAGACTTCCACGCAAGATGATTTTGAGCCAGGTTCTAAACAATGCGATGGCGGCTCCAAATCAGCGAACCGCCTTGGACCTCCTCACCAAAAAAAAACCTGGCGGTTCCAAGGCGGCCCCAAACAGCAGAAATCGGTTCCGAACGCATGGGGAACTAGCGTTTCGCTTGAGGCATCCTCGAACATGCAAGTGGAGCTCCCCCCCGCAGCGGGCGCAAGCATCGGCGCGATGGAAGGCAAAATCACCGCGCGTCTCAAGTGGCGCGAGGCGTTCATCAACCGCGACTTCGAAGTGAATAACTTTTGCTCGAGGTGCGCCAGTCAGATGAAGGAGCTCGTCGACTCGAATGGGGAGAGGCTGAGCCACTGAGTGCTGCATTGAAAGCTCATGGAGCGCCGCAGCGTCTCGCGGAAGAGGCTCGCGCGCGGGAAAGCCGCCCTCGCTGCCGTCGATCCTCGTTCCGCAAATCGACCGCGATGACATATAACCGCAGTGAGGCACTGTCTCCCAGGGCGGTTTGTCTGCGGTGACTTCGCGCGCGAAGGGTGATTCGAAGTGGCTGGAAGAAGCCGGGCATGCGCGGAGGTAAACGCGGTGGATGTTTTCCTAAATTATCTCAGCACTGGTATGACGCACTGGCGACAGGGGAAGCCTCGCACAAACTCGCCCGCTCAGCCAGCCCGACTGACGTCATGCCGGGAGTGTGCGGGGGGCGCGGCAGGTCGCTGGGCGTCGCCGCTGACGCCGGTGCCCGGGATGAATGCGTGTCGTAACGGGTAAGTTGCACATGCGCGTGGCACCGAGCGTCCTGAACGTGAGACCCAACAAATCATAGCTGAAAAAGAAAACGCATGGCCAAGCGTTTTCCCATTTCAGGTTATTATCCTGGGTGCCGCACTGGGGGGTGGAGACATCGTCCCATTGGGGGCATGGAGCTGCTGCAATGTGAACGGGGAGTGAGTGCGTGGGGGGGGCAAGCGAGAGGGCGGATGGGGGTGCATTCTGGGGTTTGGGACCGGAATTAAATCTCTATGAGCTCTATGACATGGCGGTTCCAAATCGCCGAACCGCCTCGGACTTCCTCGCACAATGAGCCGTCGTGGCGGTTCTCAAACGGTTCCAAACGGGCGTTTCGCTTCAGTGAAGCGAAATTTGGAGCCCGGCTCCAAACAATGCGATGGCGGTTCCAAATCGCCGAACCGCCTAGGAATTCTTCGGACAAAAAACCGTCGTGGCAATTCCAAAGCGGTCCCAGACCATCCAAACACAAACAATTTGAAACCGAACGTTCGCTTATGATAAAAACCGGGTTCCGGACAATGCGATGGCGGTTCCAAATTGCCGAACCACCTAGGACTTCCTCGCAAAATAAGCCGTCGTGGCGGTTCCAAAGTGGTTCCAACCGGCTCCGCAATGGGAGAACGAAAATTTCGCTTGAGACTTCCGCGCAACAATAATTTGGAATCCGTTTCCAAACAATGCGATCGCGGTTCCAAATCGCCGAACCGCCTGTGAGTCCCTCGCAAAATAAATCGTTTTGGCGGTTCCAAAGCGGTTCCAAACAGCAGAAGTCGGTTCCGAACGAATAGGGGACCAGCGTTTCGCTTGAGGCATCCTTGCGCATGCAAGTGGAATTTCGTGCCAAGGGCGCCAGCAGGACGAAACTCCAGAGCGTTTGGGTTCAAGGGCGACCTCGGCACAATCGGAGAGGAGCGAACCTAAGGATCCCGAAGGGGATCGAGCCAAAGATTGGCGAGGAGCTTTGCGAGGTGGGGGCGACGAGGCCTGAGCCGCGGACGACCATGTATCGCCACCAGGTCGATGCCATGGGTCATTTGGCCGATGCCGATCTTCACGAGGACGCTGGCGCCGAGGGCGAACGTCTCCATCGTGAGGTTCGTCGCCAGGGGCATGACCATATTCACCAGCAGGCCGAGTTTGAGGCAAAGGGCCATCAATCCATATGCAAATCTCTTGTCGTCCATCAGATTGGCGATTTCCACGATCGGTCGAAGAACACTGTCTGGCGACAACGAGAATGTGGTCGATCAAGCCAGGCATGGGAATCTTAGATGAGGTTGACGAGGCAGGTGGAGAGGTGTCTAACGTGATCTTGGACGTCGTCTTCACCAGCACCGCTGGGGAGCTCCCAGAGATGTGCACCACAACACCTGCTTCAACCTGGCGCCGAACCCACTCCAGCCGAGCCGCGACCACCGTGGCAGGAGAAGCGCAGGGGAGCCCAGGGTGCGCCCAGCAAGCCACGAGGACAAGCAAATGCTTGAGCCAGAGTGGTAGTAGCTATGATGGTAGTGCTGAACATGCGAGCGCGACGACGCGCGCGTGTCGACGATGTCCTATTTGTTTGCAAGGGATTGTTGAAAGTGTCGGATTTTTGATAAGAAGGTGTGCGAACATATAAATGTTTCACACAGATGAATGGGCTCGATAACGGCACTCACTGGGATGGTATGCGTTCATATGACGAACTCATGATGGGGCATAACCACATGTAAGTTGTATTATTCCCGGGGGAACGATAATTCTGGAGGGTGTGGGGGTCTGGCAGATCCCGATTTCTTCTAAGAGTACCAAAGCAAGGCAAAGCAATGCAACGAACACAATGAAAACAGCAATGCAATGCGATACAAAGCAATGCGAACTCACGCGATGTAAAGAAAAGCAAAGGAATACAACGCAGTGGAAAGACATGCAACGCAATGCAACACACTAAAAGCAAAGCAACGCAACGCCATGCAAAGTAATGCAACGCGAAGCAATGCAAACCCATGCTATGCAGACACAAACATTGCAAAGCGGTGGACAGAAATGAACACATATACAAAGAAATACAAAATCACTGCGAAGCAAGGCTACGCAGTGGAACGCAATGCAAACAAACGCAAAGCAAGGCAAATCAATGCAGAGCGAGGCAGAACAACAACGCGAAGCAATGCAAAACATTGCAATGCGATGCAAACACATGTGAAGCAATGCGAGGCAATGCAAATCAGTGCACGTAACGCAATGCAAACAAACGCAAAGCAACGCAAATGAATGCAGAGCAAGGCAGAACAAACATGCGAAGCAATGCAACGCAATGCAGTGCGACGCAAACCCGTCTGAAGCACCGTAAACCAACACGAGGCAATACACAAAGCCATGCAAAACAGTGCAAAGGGCGAGCCTCGCACACTCGAGAGCCGCGACCAAAATGGTGCGGCGACGGACAGCCACGACGGGCGGCGACAGGCGGCCCACAAGCAGGCCAGACCGGCGCACGGTCCCCCCTGCGAGCCCCGCGCAGTCTGGCGGCCACAGGCTGGCCAGACCGGCGCATTCGTGGCCAGAATGGGTGCGGCGACGGGCGGCCACAGGCTGGGCAGACCGACGCACAGGCCCAGCTCACTGCGAAATAGGTGCGGTGGGCGCATGCGAACGCAGCCGCTGGGGCCGTCGGTGGAGTTCCCTATGGGGCCACGAAACGCGTGAGAGGTGTGCCGAGAAAAGTTTGGGGAACATCAGCGTTTGCCCCGAATACTGCTGAACAGCAATGCGCTCGCGGTTGGGGTGTTTGAAGTGGCACTGGGCTCGCATTCCATGCACGTCAGGCTCCGATCGAACCTCTCCTGGATCCGCATCGGATTCGTAGTGGGTCTTCTACCTATTTGTGAATCGCATTGGGCTCGCATTGGGAATCGACTCAGGTTGAGCTCGTTTCTGACTCCCGATAAGTGCACCAGTGAGACGGGGCTCAACGGGCCCAGTGCCTTATGTGGGGCTCGTCTCTGACTCGTGAGAGGCGCGCTTTCGTTTGGGGCCGTACTGGCCTCGTCGTACAAATACGATACTTTCACTTGCAAACGCACAGATCCTCCTCACAAGTCCCAGGTAAAGCGCAAAGAGTCCAACTAAAAGCACCCGAGAAAACATATATACGTGAACATCTTGTTTGGGGGGTTGACAATATGAGCTCCGGCGCCCTAGAAGACGCTCCGTCTTCTGCAGCCGCGCGCGCGCGCCGTGGCTCATCACGAGGATCCCTCGTCCGCAGCACTCCGCATCTGCTCTGCCTTGGCAGCTCTGGCAGCCAAGCGGGCGGCGACGGCTGCCTCCCCGCGCGCGCGGAAGTGGCCAAAGCCATCGGCGTTCAAAGGAAGAGGGCGAATATCGGAAAGCTGGGTGGCCGATGCACTCGGCCACTCATGGTCCAAGAGAGAATGCGAAGAAGACAAACTGGCCGACCCAATTTACACTGTGGGGAGGAAGAGAGAGAAAAGATGATATGAGCCAATCCGCCCGTCCCAAGAAACCTGCGCATGAACCAACTGCGAAAAGAACCGCACCTGAACGGTCTGGACGAGCTCTGACACGGCTTCTTGTGACGGGTGGGGTCACGCTCATTCCCCGTCGCTGTCGCCGTATCTTGTATTCTTGCTCGGAGGACGACGCTTGGTAATTTCAGGAGGGAGGGACGAGCACGAAGGACTCCTACCCCAGACGATGTGATGTTTCCACGCGGACCCCCAAATGTTCGAGCCCTTCTCCGAAACCGATTTGTTCTTCTCAATTGATTTCGACGGTCCCAGGGCTTGGTGAGGGCCCCCAGAGAAAACAACTTCAAACAGCCTCCCATTGTTTTGTTTTGTTTTGTTTTGCTGTTTATTCTTCTTTTTTTCTGGGGAGCAGAGGGAAAACGAGACTCGAATTTCCCGTGAAAGAGACGCGTCCAGGCGGGCGTGGCCTTTCTGTTCAGGAGGAGCGGACGGGAAGCGGACGTCCCAGCGACCAACACGCCGAGCAGCTCCGTGAGGAAAGCGCTGAGCGCTGGAGCGGGGCGGAAGCGGGTCCTGGACCCCGGGGCTCTTCCCCGGGGCCCAGCCGCATTCATCCCGAGCCGTCTCTGTTTGCGGTCCTGGGGCCCCAGGAGCCCGAAGGCGGCGAAGAGCCGCAGGATCCCTTTCCCTTCGGCAGCCCTCTGCCCCACGGACCAGGGCGAGGAGGCAGGGAAGGCATGGGGATGGAGACGGGGGATTGGAGGGGAGGGGGGAGCGGGGAGGAGGGAGGGAGAGAGGCGAGGAGGCAGATGGAGAGTGGGGGATGGTCGAGGAGGGAGATGGTAAGCCAGGTGCGCTCGCGCCATATCAGACATCCTACCCCTCCCTCCCATCTTGCGCTAATTGTTTCTCCGTCCGCGGACTCGTGCCATAGCCGACCTGGAGCCAGAGAACCTATTCCATAGTCTTATGCGCAATCAAATAAAATAACATCTGCGCACGAAGGATCAGGAGGAGTTGGCGGGTGAACATGAGGATGTGTAGGAAAAAAGGGAAGGACGAGGAAGGAGGAGGACGAGGACGAACAGCATCAGCAGGAGCTGGAGTGAATGAGCGGCAGGAGCAGGAGGACAAGGGGAAGGCTGAGGAGTGGACTTGAGTAGATGATGAAAAGAGGGAGGATGAGGCAGGAAGTGTACGAGGACAAACAGCAGCAGCGGGAATTGGAGTGGAAGGCGGGAGAAGCAAGAGGACCAGGGAAGGCGGAGGGGAAAGGAGAAGTACGACAAACGATGAGGAATGACTCGGATCCAGAGGTGGCCCACGCTGGGGCGAGAGCGCCATTCTGAACGACGGGAGCAAAACGCCGATCCGAAAATGAGGCCCACACTGCAGAGGGAACACCATTCTGAAACACTGAAAATCAGCGGATTGCAGCAACAACGTAAGAAACACAACCTTCTCAACTCATGCGTGAAACAACAACACGCGGAGATGGCCGGCAGTCTCTTCCAGACGGAGTCAGGAGAGCAAGAAGAGTAGTACTCATACTTTGTAGTTGTAAAAGAGGCGAGGAGGGCGAGGGCAGGGCGACGAGGCAGGGTCCCCCCCCCCAGAGCTACCAACGGATTACCCTCCCATGTCTCGTCCGGAGGCGGGAGGCGAGCTCCCGAGGTAACGCCATTCTTGGAAGAGGAGGGAGGGCGAGGTATGAGGAGGCAAGGTCCTCCTCGTCCTCCTCCTCCTCTTCCTCTCCTCTTCCTCTCCTCCTCCTCCTCCTCCTCTTCCTCTTCCGTGCGCATACGTATTACGATCAGTCCGGCGTTCTCCTCTATCGCTGGCGAAGAAGGAGGCAATATCCCGAGATCTGAATGTTGAGAGAATCCGCCGAACCCCGCAAGCCAGGGTTGAAAAGGGGGTGAGAAACTTGGCTATTTCCTCCCTTCCCCCTCCCAGAGAAAGAGACAAGCATGAGTGCGCCCAAGTCGCCCGAACGCAAACGCTAAGAGAAAGGAAGTGAGGAGGGGAGGCGCCGACGGCCGAGCCGCCATCGCGGCGGCTTGCCCTCCCGCGTCCTCTTGATACGGTGCTTCTGCACAGCCAGGGTCGGGGGGTGGAGCGCCGCACGAGCCCCCTCGGACACAAGCCGCTCCCGATCGTTGGGGCCCCGCCCAAAAGCCCGATTCGCTTTCCAGAGGTCGAACGGGGCAGGACGGCCACGGGTGGCAACGGAGGCAAGAGAGCGGAGTCCGGTCTCTGTTCTGGTGACAGTGCCGTACCCCCGACATCGCCGCTCTCCTCTGGTCTTGCTGTGCCAAAGAGGTGGTGGCCACCAGGTCCAGAAATAGAGACGACAGGTGCGCACAGTTCGGGCTGGGGGGCTCTCGGTCTAGCAGCCTCCGACGACGACTCCGATGAGCACAGACCAAACTCAGTGAGGCGCTTCCCAGCCCAGGCCAAAAACTGGAGAAATCCTGCGATTCCTCCAAAGCCAGCCTATGCAGATAAGCCGTCCCGCGGCCGACCGAGTCACACGAAGCCTCCAATTTTGCAAAGAAACCGGCCCAAGCATTCCCTAGGACATAACAAAACGGAGGGCCCTGCTCAGGCCCGAGGCAAACAGCATCATCGAGATCCTTATGAGCGGGGCACCAATGCACCACAAGGCCCGAGACTCAACAACAGCGTGGATCTCCACACTGACGCATGCTTGCCTGCTGAACTGGTGGCGACCGAACTCCATTCATGCACTTCCTAGGCAAGGCCAAGGAGGTCCGTGACAACTATCTCCGCAGACGCTAACTTTTGCAACGCACGTAGCATCGCCACACGCTCTGCTTCGCCGACTGTCTGGTTTGGCCCCGCTAGCCGCCCATAGCAGGCACGCAACGGGAGCCCTGCGTCAGACATCTGGACGAGAGCCCTTTCGTAACTGCGAACTTCTGTCTGGCTGGTTAGACCACCTCCCCGAGCCGTCCGTGAGCACGACGTTGCCTCGCTGGCTCAGGGGGGTGGTCCGATCGCCCCACCAGAAAATCTGTGGGTCCCGAGGTGACTGCACTCGAGGGCCTGGCAACAGCGGCATACCCACCGAAAGCTCAAAACTGTGAGGATCAGAAATCCCTCGGCGCCTGGTCGGGCCCTGGGCCAAAACGACATCTCGAATTTTAACCTGAGCTTCTGTGATGGGCACCTCCTCTTCTCCGTCAAGAAGTGTCTCCCGCAGCGCAGGGCACTCCAAGAGAAGGTGGCCCACAGACTCGCATGGGGCTCTGCATCCTCGACACTTTGGATCAGGCGCGTACCCAGCAGCATGCAGGCGATCTTTCTGACACCAGGAGTTGGCCCACAAGGATCGAATAATCCCAGCCGACTTCGCGGTCTTGAGCACGGCCCCTTTGGACCCAACCGAAGCTCGGATCCCGCGGGGCCACAACTCGCAACCGACAGGGAAGTCAGGAAAGTGGGTTTGGATCCTACGTAGGACGAGCTCTTCAGGGTTGGGGGGGGGACAAGTTCGTCAACAACGCCCCTTTGGTGCCCTTGGAGCCTTCAAAATGCCCAAACTGCCTTCTGGGATGGTAGGGAGGGCTGCAACACGCCGGATAAGCGTAAAGAAAACATAAGATGGCCACCAGACAGCCGAAGAGGCGCCAAAGTGACACAAGTCATGTATTTTCCTGATGTGTTTGAATATGTTCGTGTTCTCCAGGCGGCCCGTGAGGCCTCCCAGACTGGCCAATGATGGGCCATGGAGCCCCCAAGCCCCCAAGGGGGGAGCCCTGGAGACGGCAAACAAGGCACTCTGCAGGGCCCGAATGGAGGCCTCAGACGGAGAACTCGTAGGGGCCCCGCAAGAAGGACCTCCAAGACCACCACCATGCCCCAAAGAAGCCACCAGGGGGCCCCAACACCTAGAAAAAACTCTCACGAGGCCGCCCCAAAGGTGTCCAAGAGGCCTCAAAGAAGCCTGGCACGAGAGGAGACAGGACACTGAAGAAGACACAGCCTCCACACAATCGCAAAGAGGCATAACGACACAACGCGATTTGGTCGTCCAATTTGCAAACGTACTTCGGGGCTGGTGAACTGAACTGGCCAAGGACGGGCCGAAAGGGACGCAAGGGGATCCTGGGAGAACCACCTGATCCATCTGATGTGCAGCGGCCGAAATTCGTCGGCGGATCCCCCCCCAAAACTTCGCTCCCGAGAAGCACCACGGGGTGGGCCGCCGAGGCGCCTCGGGGACGAGACCTTGGTGGCGACGCCCCAGCCAGTCTTCGGGAATGCCAGCGGCTGCAAGGGAAAAAGGCCCCCGGGCCTCCTCCAGGCGTCGGGAGAAACACACGACAGCCTGCCTGCGGCGAAGTGGCAGCGTGAGGAAGGCTTAATTGTCAGAAATCGTGGGAACACGCAGCGGTCTCAACGTTTTCATGTGAAAACGAGCTTGCGCGATAACGATCACCAACATCTTGCAAACATGTGTTTGCCATCGTTGCCCCCCAACAATGGATTCTAGCGCTCTGTATGTATACGCTGTGTGCCACAAACTGCATGGTGCAAATTGTGTGGCGCCCGCCATGCGGCGCAAACTGTGTAGTGCACCGTGGTGCAACCCACGCCGTGTAAAGTATGTGGCGCAAAACATGGGGTTCGAACTGACATGTGTTACAACAAATGTCATGTACACCATACAATGCACTTTGCTTGGTGCAAACTATCTGGTGCCTTCTGTATGGGCAAACGGTGTGGTGTAAGCTGTGCGGTGCAATCTATGAGGTGGGAGCCGTGAGGTGCAATATGTTTCGTGACATGTCTGTGCTGCAGTTAACTGG